CACAAGCACATCTGGCCCCTAATAATGCAAAAGGCACCACAAGCACATCTGGCCCCTAATAATGCAAAAGGCACCACAAGCACATCTGGCCCCTAGTAATGCAAAAGGCACTTCTATCACAGATCAGAAAGTTTTCGGCACGGTCTACCCACCTTCTGTACCTGCAAGGAGCACGGCTCCCCGACCAGCTCGGTAGGGTGAGAGGAAAAGTCATGAGAGAAGAAAATAGCATAGTAAAATGCAGCTGTCCCCCATATGAGGAGAAGTTTTCCGCGCATCTCAAAGGGGGCCGCTGCACATCAGTAATGGAAACGACACAACAGTATGTAAATCATAAAGACCGTCAGGGAAGGAAAATGAACCAACAACTGGTATGATTTTTTGTTCTCTTTTCCGAAAAAAGAACCTTATGGTTCCGGCTCCTTGTCCATTCTGGGGAGCATCGGTCCAGTTCCTATTCCACCGGCAAGTCAAGCAGAATACAACAAGTGCACACTCTGACGCTTCTCCCCATTATGGTTGAGAGATCCGAGCGGGCAGCATTGATTACTTCCCTTGGAAGGATGTACCACCCCTCACCTGGTATGATTTCCTTTTTTCTCTTTCTTTTTTTTTTGTCTGTGCGTGTGTTTGTGTTCTTTCTGTGATGCGAGGTCTTTTCTGTGGGGGGGGGGGGGGGGGGACGGAGGGCGTTGACTGGGCCAGGGTTGATGTAGAGGAAGGGGGAGAATGGGATGGGAAATGCACGTAATTAGCCCACCAGTACATGAGACGCTCCCGCGGACCTCTGACAGTTTTTTCCCATCATCAACGACTTTAGCGGGGTGCTGGTACATCCGTACATATAAAGTGTGGCCGCGGTGTTAACCGGTACATCTTGCTTGCAGATTGGTGGTTTTACTGTTCATTGTTTGGGTTTGTGAAATTGCAGAGCCACAAGTACTATGCAGATCGTGTATGGAGCGGAATCCAAAGCGGGTGGAAGAGGAGAAGCCAGTCCGCACAAACAGAGGCAAACCAAGGGCTCCTAGTAGGGCAGATGCAAAGCCAGGTAGGAAAGGCAGAACACAGAGCACAATTCTGAATTAAGCGGTATGCAAGTGTCAGCCCCTGCTGGATCTACGCTCTTCCTGCCTTAAATTGACTAGATTCATGCGTGAAAGGATTCGCAAGCTCAGATATTTCCGGTGCGAGTCCCACTGTCCCAATGTCCTATTGTAATGTATTCCCGTCCGGTTGTCCCGCACCGTAGGCCTAGTTTAGTTTCAGGTCGTACCATAGGGTATCGTCGTTAATTTATTATCTGTAGTTCCCTACGGTCGGTAGGCAATCCATGCTGTCTGTCTGTCTGTCTGTTTGTTGTCTGGCAGTCGCAGCTCATCCCGAAAGTCCGGAACTTCCGGTTGTTGGAGGCTGACCGCAGCCACAAGCAGCAGTCCGAACATCTTGAACCTCTGGTCAAAGTGGCCGACTGTACTAGAGTCCGGCAGCACCAAACGTCAACACAATTGGGCATTCGTGCTGTACGCAGAACCGCTGCTGCGGTCTTGTGCATTGCTGCAGTGAATGAGCGAAGTGTGTAGCGATAGGATAGTTGATGGTGCCTGACAGCATAGCATAGCTTGTGTGTGTGTGTGTGTGTGTGTGTGTGTGTGTGTGTGTGTGTGTGTGTGTGTGTGTGAGAGAGAGAGAGAGAGAGAGAGAGAGTGAGCGTGACCTGTGTGTGCAAGTGAGTAGTAATAGTAGTAGTAGTAGTACAGAGAGAACGTATGTGTGAGGCTTACCTGCACTGTGAGTGAGTGGCCATAGCCGCATGTAAGAAGAAGACAAGTGCCAAGACTATTTTGGTTTTGTATCTCATCAGAGAGAA